TATCTCCTCATTACTCCACCCACCTCCCTACCCCCAACTTGTGTCCTCACCCCCCTATTGTCTATGTCCATTGGTTAGGCCATATGCATGCATACAAGTCCTTCAGTTGATCTTTCCCCCTTATCCCCACCCTCCCCTACCTTCCCTCTGAGGTTTGATGGTCTGATTGATGTTTCTCTATCCCTGTATCTGTTTTTGTTCATCAGTTTATGTTGTTCATTATATTCCGTAAATGAATGAGATCATGTGATATTTATCTTTCTCTGACTGGCTTATTTCTCTTAGCATAATATTCTCCAGGTCCAACCATGCTGTTGCAAATGGTAAGAACTCCTTTTTTTTTTTTTAACGCAGTGTAGTATTCCATTGTGTAGATGTACCAGTTTTTTAGAATGGGATTTCTCAATGAGAACTATTTCATGATGTGAAAGGAGATTTTTAGAGATTTAATCTAAAAGAAATAATCTCTAAAAATAATTCTAAATATTTTTAAAAGTTATAACAACATCTTTATGTACAGTATATTATTTATTTGGAGAAAGATAATCTGAAGAAGAAAAATTTTTATTTTCTATTTTTCTCTATATTTTTAGACGATTAATTCTAAACTATCTGGCTAATACAGAATATATGTGTAAACAATCAAAGTTGATAGAAACTCTAACACTTGGAAATATTTAGTTTCTATGATGCTTGTTTTTATATTTAATTATGAATAGCTTTATTTTTATATAATATTTTCCTTAAAAACATTATATATATATATATATATAAATGTAATAGTATTAGTACTATATAACATTATATATAATAACATATAGTAAGAGATATAGTTTTTCCATTATGTATAAGACTGTATCTCATAGGTTTTTTTTGTTCTCTTCATTCCAAGCATTTAGTTACTATTTAGATTTCTAATAAGAAAATTATACTGAAAAATATATGATATAATGAAAAGGAAATGAATAATATAAGCCCATTAAACTATCTTGGAAATGAAGTAGAACCTCAGAAGAAATTATTTTTCTAAGTAATACATTTTTTATCAAATATGAGATTTTTGCCTCAAATGAAACCTCTTCAAGAAGCCTTCCCTTAAACTCTAGTTTTCACTTGAAGATTATCTCTTCCTCTAAATTCCATGGTACTTTGTTCGAGTTTTATGAGAAATCACTTCTGTCTTTAATTAGTTATGTATATGTATTGTATTTACATTAGCAAAACTAATAGTAGTATGCAGCACAACCAATTACACATATTCATTGTTCATTTTTACTTTCTAGAAAGAATAATTGAATAAATTGACAGGAGACATAATACTCTATAATATAGATAATTAAAATCAATTAATATTTAAAGTACCTTAAATTATGAAGTTAAAAACCTGCATAAAAATAAGAAACTTTGGACACTGGCCTTTTTTTGGCCTTGATGAAGACCAGGTTGAACTTTTTCCATGGTGGGATGGATGGGGAGGGGTCATGGGAAACCCAGGGGCAGCCTTCTATATCCACCCAAATACATCTTATCTCACCACCATCTCCTGTACGTGGGTCCATGAAATGCTTTCCTCATGATCCCATGAGAGAACATGATTTCCACTGGCAGCATCAATGCTTTCAAATACATTTTCTCTTTTATACTTTAAAACAGCCCTTTGGCTGAGAGCACTCAACAAGATTAAGATCACCAAGGCAATAAATGGTATTGTCCACACAAAATTTGTCCAAACAAGTCTTCTAACTCTATTTTCCCAAAGGAAAAAAAACAAAAAACCTGAGAAAGAACTACCTAGACGAAAGGTATCTAGTAAAAAGCAGTGACAAATAGCAAAAAAGAAAATTATTTTCACATTTAATGGTATAGCTGTTCTTTCAAAAAATTTAAATCTTAAATTTCTCTGGAACGATATGTTAAAAAGAAAACACTATCAGCTATCCAAACACAATAGATAAAAAAGTCCATTTTTCTAATAGAGTCTCAATTAATGACACAGGTTAGCAAATAAGGAAGATAAAACTCCTGTTGTCTCCTAATGAATAGCTTCTAGAGTTGAGGGTTGGCTCAAGAAAATTCAGTTTCTACATCATCTCCAATAAACTTGAGATATTAGAAGTAAACTGGACTTAAGTTTGTAAAAGCATGCAATACAGCAAAATAAGATGTATGCCATACTGTTATGTTAATTACATAGATCTGTCCATACAGGCACTTAAGAAGAATATTCCACTCCTATGTTCTTAGCAGTGTTATTTACAAAAACTAAGAATGGGAACAACCCAAATAGCCATCAGTAGAGGAATGAATAAAAGAGCTGTGAGACATTTTCACTATGGAATACCATGGAGATATAAAAATGAGGGATCTCTTACCCTTTGGGAGAGCATAGATGGACCTGGAAAATTATTATGCAAAGTAAAATAAGCCAATCTGAGAAAGACAAATATCACATGATCTCACTTATTTGTGGAATCTAATGCACAAAATGACTTCACCAATAAACTAAGACCCTACACATGAAGGCATGGAATAGACTGACATACGGCGATGTGGGCTTGAGGGGATAAGAAGAGATAAACCAGAGAACTTATATACTCATATGCATAGTCCATGGATTCGGACAAAAGAGTAGTGAAGACCTGGGGAGGTTGGTAGGGGTGGAAGAAAAAGGGTAAAGAATGGGGAGATAGAAGACATCTGTAATACTATCAACAATAAAAAATATATTTTTTAAAAAGAATCATATTTTATTAACATGGCCATACTTGTAAATATGAAAATATGACCATATCACAATTATTATATGGTTTCCAGTCTATAATACTTCAAATAGAGATTCAGGTTTATTAATATTAATCAAATGGAATTCAACCTGAATTTAATGATTAATTTTAACTCAAGTGACCAATCCTCCAAAAACTTTTTCATAAGTATCTTGGTATTGGCATATTTCTTGGAGTAGCATATCCAAGACTGGAAAATCCAGTCTTCCTCTCATTAATTAATTCATTTTCCACCATTAGGCAATGGGCACAGGAAACCTCCCTCTGCAGCTAAGATATTATCACTGCGGAAGAGCTCAGTAAATGCCTCAGTTCCCAATGCCAGCAGAGCTGTTTGCTGTGGAAAGGCATTTTTCCCAATGTTTCTGGGCACGCTGAAAACAAACAAGGGGAGAGATCCCCTTCTTTAATAAATTTGATTGATGGTTCTCCTGTGCTGAGTGTGGTCATATGGTGCCTAGTCTGGCTGGCTCTGTTTGAAATAACAGACCCTGTGGTTTGAAAGCCTAACTTAAATGTTCTGCCATTTTATTATTGGCAAGAGACAGAATTTAAATGAAATGTCAGTCAGGTTTCTATGTTTTCCTCTGCAGCTGCAAGCTTCAGCTAAAAATTCTCTACCCTAACTACATCATCTAGATTTTTATGAATCGTATAATCTAAATTCAAGCATTTCAATTTTCTTCAATATTTCATGGCCCTGCTGTATAAAAAAAAAAAAAAAAAAAAAAAAAAAAAAAAAAAAAAAAAAGCTGTGGTGTCAAGTTAAAAAAAATTAAATTAAAAACAAAAAACAAGAAAAAACACACAATTATAGTGAAAAATAAGGAAAATAGGTAGAAATTTATCACAAGAGCCATCATGTCTTTAGGTTTATTTTTCCTTTAAGTACTACCTCTCTACTGAACTGTACACACACATCCTATCTAATGAAGAATGGATATGCTAATTGACTGTTCCACCCTCAAAGATGGCAGCACCCACAGCCACAAGAATACAGTGACCAATCCCCTCAGTCCCACCAAGACAGCAGGTGCGGCAAGTCCAGAATCCCCCAGTCCTTCAGCTCCCCAGATGTCCAGGGCTAGCCTGAGGTGCAGGCAAGCCTCAGATGTTGGCTGCCCAGCTGCCCAGAGCTGACCCAAGATGCAGGTAACCAGGACCAACCAAGGCTTGTGCTGCCAGCAGTGGCAGCAGCAGAGGTGTTATGAAGTGTCGCCTCTCCTGCCCCTGAGGGCTTTTGGACTGTGAGAGGGGTAGGGCAGGCTAAAGGACTCCTCCTCCCCCCCTGCCCCCCCACTTTAATGCATGAATTTTCGTGCACCAGACCTCTAGTGAAAAAATGAAGGAAAATAGTTTTTCCAATTGGGGGAAAAAAAAAAGCTGTGGTGGCATCACCTCTAATTCATATATATAACATAAAGGCCCCCAATAGAGTTCTCATTTCAGTTTCTGTGAAATAGTATCCAATTCCTAAAATGCTTACTGTTTATTAAGAAGATATGTATTTGCCCCGGCCAGTGTGGTTCAGTGGATGGAACATCCTCCCATACACCAAAGGTTTCAGTGTCTATTCCTTGTGAGGGCACAGATCATGGTTGCAGATTCTAGTGGTGGTTGGAGTGGATGTGAGAGGCAATCAATAGATCTTTCTCTTTCACTTTAGAGTTTTTCTCTCCTCTCTCTTCCTCTTTCTAAAAATCTATAAATATATCCTCAGGTGAGCATTTTTAAAGAAAGAAGATATACATTTATTTATCACATTTTCCTATTACTGGTTCATGTATCTACATTTTCTAGATGAATAATAGATACCAAATAACAGAGAATAGATTTTTAAAATTCAGCCGAATTTGCTCTCTGCAAGTAACACACAATTAACTTCGTTTCTCAAAGGTTTATAAAATTTTTCAATTATAATTTATATTCAATATTATTTTGCATTAGTTTCAGGTGTATAGCATAGTGACTAGACATTCTAATATTTACAAAAGGATGTCTTCAGTATTTCCATATTCTCCTGGCACCACATGTATTTATTACAAAATTATTAACTATATTCCTTATGCTCTACTTATAGATATATGTGTGCATCTTAGAGTAATTTAAAAGCGTAGAATGTACTTATGTACTTTTGTTTTCATTTATTGGGGGAAAAAAGTTAAAATCTTTTGTGCAAATTACTGTAATCTCTTTTTCATGAACTCTTCCCACCAGGCACAAGGAACCATCTTCCCGGCTCCCAATTTCAACCCTGTCATGGATGCCCAAATGCTAGGGGGGGCGCTCCAAGGATTTGGTAAGCCTGATCATTTCTGTCACCTTTTATAATAATTACTTTTTGCTTTCCCTTGTTTTAAGACTGTCTTATGGGTATAAACATCTGATGTCTAACAGAAGACAAACATGTTTTTAAAGCTGGGCAAAGAAATAGAAGAAGAAGAAAAAGAATAGACTAGGGCAATAATGGTGAAGAGGTTTGTCAATGAATGAAATTAAAGTTTAGAAAATAAATATATGGAGAAGGGAGGAAAGTTGTTGTGGTCTTTTAAAAAAATTATTTTTAAGATATGATATGGTGCTGTTAAACATCCACATATTTTCGTTAAATATAACGAAATAGCTATTCTAAGAAGACTTGTGGTGAGCATGAAGATAAACATTGGCGACATTAAAGGAAATCCTTGCATAAAACATGCACAGCCTTTCATAAGAAAGCAATCTCTTAACTTTAAAGACAAGGTCACCTTCATGAGAACGGGATTCACTTTGTGTTCTATTCACTAGCAGAACCCCGTAGGAAAATAATAAAGGACTTTAAATGTGTTCTCTAAAGTCAATTGCGGAGTTTGAAATGCTGTCATGCCTTTTAAAATATCAATAGTCACTAAAAAGAAATAGAGAGATAAGACAACAAAAAGTTATGGATTAACTTTTTACTTAAGAGAGTATTTTTTGCTTTAAAACTGTAGATCAGAGCAATCTATCCATCGAAAAAAACTTTCTTTGCTCCAGTTTCAATTTTCCTGCCACTGTAATTTTAGGGACATAATATGGATTCATTGTGACCACTGTCGCTTTTTTTTCTTTTTGTTTGTGAGTGTTTTAGGCTGAAAAAAATGGATGAGGTTTTGGTTTTAATTGCAGTGCCCACTCAAGCAAGTCAGAGGACCGACACAGCTCAAAATGCTTTAAAATTTTATCTGTTCTAATGACCCTGGCAAGTGCAGCTATAAAAGACAATTACTAATGTCTTCCTTAGTAGCTGTGCTATTTTGTCCAGCTTTATTAGGATATAAATGACAAAAAAGATCTTACATATAACATGTATACATTTAAGGTGCACAATGTGATGATTTGATATACTTATAAATTGCAAAATAACTAACAGAGTAAAGATTAACACATCCTTCACCTCACATAATTACCATTTTTGTTGCTGTTATGGTGAGACATTTAGATTTACTCTCTTAGCAACTCCCAAGTATGCAGCAAAGTACCGTTAACTAAAACCACCTTCTGTACATTAGATCCCCATAACTCATTCCACCATTTCCCCCACTTCCAGCAACTGATGTTCAGCTCTTTTAGATTCTATGTACAAGTAATATTATATAGCATTTGTCTTACTCTGACTCATTTCACTTAGCATAATGCTGTCAGATACATCCTGGTTGTGCAATTGGCAGGATTTTCTTATTTTTTATGACTACGTAATACCTCATTGTGTGTGTGTGTGTGTGTGTGTGTGTGTGTGTGTGTGTGTGTGTGTGTGTACATACTAGAGGCCCAATGCATAAAATTTATTCAAGGAGCTCCGAGGGCTGAGGCAGCACCCCCAATCGCTGCCCTGGCCCTTGCAGCAACCGCCCCGGCTTCATCTGAAATGTCTTCAGGAAGGACATCTGGTCTAATTAGCATATTACGGTTTTATTACTATAGATCACATTTTCTTTACCCATTCATCTATTTATGAACTAGTGACCCCATGCATGAAATTCATGCACATTAAAAGGGAATTAATTAGAGGAAATATTTTAGTATTGCTGTTTGCCTTTTCTCTATAATAGAAGTGTCATAGATGAAAGAAAATTAGTAAAATGTATACAAAAATCTTCTTCCTGTCAGAGTCTGGGGTACACCGCAGAAGCCAGAGTCAAATCCCCACCCACCCACATGCACCTTGAAATCACACAAGACCCACACCAGGCCAGCCCCACTCCTTTGGGCTAGATCCAGACCGAGCCTGCCCCACCCCTGTTAAGCCCTGCTTGGTGGGGGGTGTGGCCTGAGGTGCCCCATCAAGCCTTGCTGGGTAGTGATACAGCATGAGGTACCCTTCCCTGGCCCAGTGCCAACCAGCCTCAGGTCCCTGCTGATTTCTCCTTAAGGCTCGTTATGGGAACTTGGCCTCTACTGTGGGCACAGCCATCTTGTGTTACAGAATTTCTGCCTCCACTGTGGGTGCAGCCATTTTGTTATGGCATGATGGTCAGTTTACATAGTCCTACTTTATTAGATATGATACCTAAGTGATTTTCATATCTTGGCTAATGTGAATATTGCTACAGTAAACATGGGAGTGCAACATCTCTACAACATAGTGATTTATATTTATTTGGATAAAAACCCAGAAGTAGGACTGTTATATCATTTAGTAGTTCTCATTTTCATTTTAAAGAAATCTTTATACTGTTTTCCATAGTGGCTGTACCAATTTACATTCCCACCAAAAGTACACAAGGTTTCTCTTTTCACATCTCTCATTTTTTTTTTATATAATAGCTATTCTAACAATCATGAGATGATATCTCGTGCTTTCAATTTGCATTTCTCTAATTGATTTTGAGCACCTTTTCATGTATTTGTTGACCATTTGTGTGACTTCTTTGGGAAAATGTCTATTCAGGTCCTTTGCCTATTTTAAGTCTAATTATTTGTTTTTTGCTAGTGAATTATATGAGAGATTTATATATATTTTAGATACTAACTCATTAGATATATGATTTGCAAATATTTCCTTCCATTCTGTAGGCTACTTTTTCACTATTTTGATTATTGAAATAATAGGGAAAAAAAAGAAGAAAACTTACTGATCTGTGCATGAGGCTGTCCTGAATATGCTAAAATAATATGCATGCTAGAAAGTTATGGAAAAGCAAATAAATTTGTGAGTTCATGAGATGATAACTGATAATAATAATAGTAAAAAGGGTAATGCTCAGCTTTCTTTTGAAAGTAGTGCGGGCTGGCTTGCATCTTTTTTCAAAAGGTGATGCTGCATAAAAACTGTTAAACTTTCAACGAGGCAAGCTCTGCAGATCAGGAAGCTGCAAAATACCTCCTTAAGGTATTCTTAAAAATGCCTTCTGAGTTTTATACAGTAGGAGTGTGTGTGGAAGAGAGGATTTCCAATGCTGATTGGGCTGTTTTATAAGGACATTTATGAACAAGCATATACATAATGTAATTGGCATTTCTGCTAACAAAACTGCTGTGACCATAAGGTCATAAAAATCTAACCTGATATTTTTCCCAAGAGCAACGGTTCAGCATTAACTAATTTGATGTTCATAGTGACATTGTAGAAAACTACCACAAATAGCAGCAACCAACTCTACATCATAAAAGTCTATAACTTGCTATGGTTCATTGTGCCAGGCATTTCTGCAGAAAATAAAAATTATTTAGAAATTCTTGTCCTAATGCAATAAAGCAAGAAAGAGAAAAATGTAAGATTCTAAAGAATAAATCATTATTATTTACAGACATTTTATTTTATGTATCTCTCTCAAAATCCAAGGTAATCAACTAAAAAGTTATTAAAAATTGTGAGTTGAATGACTTTTCTGAATATATGCCAAACATAAAATTCAAAAACACATCTTTATTTAAGCAATGATGTGTTAAGAAACAAAATAAAAATAACTTTAAATATTCATAGAAAGGCAAAAATACATAATTTTAACAAAAGTAAGTTTCTTGTCATTTACAAAAATTATACAAGTCTTTACTAAATCTTTTAGGGAAAAAAACCCAATAATTTGGCAGATATAGTTTGTTAGTGACAGAAAAACAACTCTTCTGAATTGATTCCAGAGTATAAAATGTAAAGTTATTTTAATTAATTTTTTTTTAATTCTCCTGAAATATCTCTGGAAGAATAAATGAGCAAGAATTGGTATGACACGTTGAAAAAATAAAGAGTAATTCAGAGATGTAGGTTGTGTATAATCTCAACAAAACAACAACAAATAATTAATAATTATATAAATCGATCTATCTGGTTGGGCTCCTGTATAGAACATTGGCCTGGGGACTGAAAGGTCCCAGGTTTGATTCTGGTCAAGGGCTCATACCTGGGTTGCAGGCTCCATCCCAGTAGGAAGCGTGCAGGTGGCAGCTGATCAATGATTCTCTCTCATCATTGCTGTTTCCCTCTCTGTCTCTCTCTCTCTTTCTCTCTGAAATCAATATATATATTTAAAAAATAATAATTACATAAATGGGATGATAGTAAAAATAATAATGGAGAGAATTGAAAATGTTTCTTTTTATTATTTTAAAATATGTTAACTTTGGAATGCCCATTATATATCTAACAGACATCTCTGGCATTCTTTTTTTTTTTTTTTTTGTAATATATTTTATTGATTTTTTTACAGAGAGGAAGGGAGAGAGATAGAGAGCTAGAAATGTTGATGAGAGAGTAACATCGACCAGCTGCCTCTTGCACACCCCCTACCGGGGATGTGCCCGCAACCAAGGTAGTACATGCCGTTCGGGACCTTTCAGTCCATAGACCAACGCTCTACCACTGAGCCAAACCGGCTTTGGCACCTCTGGCATTCTTAAAGTCCTTTGAGCCCAGGACTGTAACCAGACTAGCCCATGATACCATGTTGCTCTGTGCCTCTTCACTGGAGGCTGTCTTTCCCCCCACACAAATTATAAAGTACAGTTTTTGAAACGGATTCTATGCCTCCCTCCCTCCATTTTTCAGCATTCAGACCTCTTCTCTCATCCACAGAAAACACCCTGCTCTTCCTTTGGTTTCTCATCTGCACAGTCAGGGCCTGACCCACAGCTTTTCCCTCAGCCTGAGGCTATCCAGGATGGCTTTCATTTCCAAAAGATGATCTACTTAACATCCCGGGCTTTCAATTCATTCTTTTTCTCATCTCCATTAAATATCTCCTTTGGTCAAAGAAAATTTGTACCACAAAGAATTAAACAGGCAAGGAATTCTATTGAAGTAGGAATCAAGATTTTTTTTAGTTGAGTCAAGAGATTGAACTCCAGTTCTTCCAAACAAAATGCAGGAGAGTTTTTAAGCCTGGGGTGAGCTGTGGAAAAAGCACTGGAAGACAATGGGGTTTGGGGGCATTGGTCAATGTGATTGGGGCATTGGTATTTGTTAATTGGTACTTAATGGAAATTAGGTTTCTATCTTCCAAGAGATGGGGAGATAGTGACTCTATTGTTTTTAAAGACTATGTTTTAAAAGAATGGCTCCCACGTCTTTGAGGAAGCATTTGTGAGCTATAAAACTGGGAAGTGGTTGGGAGAAAATTCCCATATCAAAAGGATAAAGAAATACTTTACAATTGCACTTTTTTCAAAATTAAATGCTCTCAGAAAATGGAGATTAAGGGCCTATGGTCAGGAAGAAACCTATCTAAATTTTAGTCAAACAGAGGAAAATATAAAGGCCTTCTTGATCACTCTCCTATGACTATAATTAAAGCTACATTTATCTAGCCTAGTTGTGCTTGTGGGTGTGATGTCAGTTGAGTGAGCTGGTATACAAGGGCCAGAGGCCTTCAGAGCCCAGGAACAGAGTCTCTATTAGGAGAGAACATGTTCCCTGTAAATCATGAGACTTTCACACCATCTCTCAGGAGGGTACACACCCCTTATACTTGTGTAATTTCCTTCTCTAATTCTCTTTCTTCTATTGGAGGTTCTTTTTGGCTTAATGTATTTGTCTTAATGCATGTTCATTATAAGTCATATCTCTCCAAATATAACACAAGAAAGATATTGTTCCCATGTAGGCAAGCCTTTTTGGGTAGGGCAGGAGAGGCGGTTGAAGAAAGACTATATTTTCACTTCCCTGTAGTTTTCACTGGATCTTTTAAAATGAACAATCTGAAGAAAAATTGCCAAAATAAGAGCTAGGAAAAACTTTGGCTTCATCAACTGTTTCTCTGAGATCTCTCATTTTAGTTAAAATTGCTCACTGATTTAAAGCACCCATCAGGGATAAAGCTTGCACATTGGATTTAATCCTTAGATAATAGATTCTTATTAACTCCAGAGTAGTAACTTGACTAAAGTTCAATTATGATTCTTTTCTAGGCTGTGACAAAGACATGCTGATCAGCATTCTGACTCAACGCTGCAACTCTCAGAGGCTGATGATCGCAGAGGCATACCAGAATATGTTTGGCCGGGTAAGGTCTCTTCATCTTGACCGATGTACCTTTAGAGCAAAAACCTGAGAGAACAGGTACTGTTCTTTTTTTCAGCCTCACAGATAAGAAAAATTTCAGATGGCACTGTACATCCGAAACAGTTCATGCTTCCATGAATACGAGAAAGATACATCATCAAATGGATCTATGTGTGAGCTATGCTCATACTAACAGTGACTCCACTAGCCTTTTCTCAAAATTCCTTGAGCTTCAAAAAAGTGAAAGTTCTTCTAGCCTTACTGGCTGATCCAATTAGGCTAAAAAATTCACACTGGGAATACCCATGTCAAGCTTTAGGGAAGGCACAGAAAGAACTAATAATGAGCACTAGGTCAAAAAGTAAGCTCTTTTCCTTCTATTCCCCACAGGTCCTCACCTAACTCTGTACCAAAGTGAATTATCTACTAGCATGCAGTTATAGAGAACATTAAAAAGAATGACAGTTAAGATAGTTAAAGGCAATAAAATCTCCATAGTATTTTAAAGGAATTACATTCTAATTTCAAGCAAGTACCATAAAAGAATGCTTTCTTGTGTTATGCATCTAAAACACACATTCAGAACAAAAACTCTTCAGGCCAAAAGGCCTGAAATATCAATTACTTTGTCAACTGAGCATTATCAATGAAACAATATCGTGAAATCCTTTTTTATACAGTTGTCCATATAAGTTTACCTCATCCTAAAACATCAGTTTTTGAACAACTATAATACATGTGTTAAAGGACAGACCTCTGTTTTACAGAATGAATTAATAATCCAAAAAGTCATGACTACTAGTCAAATTAGTTGAATTAGGTCTTAGAAGAAATGAGTTCTGTTGTTACTTTTTTAATCCAAGTCAAACCATTACTTTAATTTGTGTTCTTATGACACCAGTACAAGTTTTCTTTTGAAGGAGGATGTAAAATCTAGAAAAGTTGAAGAATTAGTAATCTAATGTTGTTTTAATATGCACATCTGTACCAGAGGGGTCACTTCAGTAATTTTTTTAACCAAAAGACTTCCATACATATTTGCTTTTTATCCATCAGGCAAATTTAGGTTAAAGCGTTGCTTTATCAATGTCTACAATATTACACTACAACAGATTAAAGTGATTAAGAAATGATGTACTTGGACTTAAGGAATGCAAAATCTATTAAACAATGTATACTCTAGTGGAGCACTTGAATTCTATATATAAAGTCTCAAAATTTGTTAAACACGTATTTCGCTGAATAATCTACACCAGGTGTAAAAGCATGGCTACTACACTAAATCGCACTAACTGGAAGATAGGGACTCATGTTGGCTCCTTTCCCCCCGAAAGACCCTTGTCATAAAAGCAGTTACAAGTCTTGTAAATTACTTTTCCTCTCACGTGTCTCTCTTTCCCTCACTTACACAGTCTTGGTTCAGGCTCTCAACATGAGGCCCACTCCTAGCTGGTGGCTGCTGTTCCCAGTCCCTTCCCACTCGGGTCTATCCACATTGCAGCCAGAATGGTTCCAAATCAGGACTTACACTTTCCCACATTCATCCCAGAATGTTTACCTTATTTCTCACTAACAAATGTCCGTACGTCCGTGGAAGAAACCCAAATGCCTGTCCAGGCCATACTTAACCTTGCTTGCTTGCTTGCTTTCTGCTCTCCATCTTCAGCCCTCTCCCTTTTCTTCACAGCTCATCAACTGAAGCCAAAGGAAACTACTTATAGTTCTACTATCCTTCAAATGGCTTCCCCTTGGTATCCAATGACACTTTAGTGAGCTTTTTGTATCTGTTTCCCTATATCAGAATCTAAATCCTCAAAAGCTGGAATGCATCTTATTTGCTCCTGGAGTTCAGCACAAATGTTTGTGTCACATGCAAAGATTGCTTAATTAATGTGTGTTAAATGTCAGTGTGAAGGCTTAGCTAATTGGACCTCATCCTATAACATGCAAGAAGGTTTGGGCTGCTTCTGGACACCCTCGCCTGGCACACTCACTTCCTGCTCTGAGATAGGGGCTGCCTGCTGGGCCACCAGAGGTCCCTGTGCACTATGCCACACTGAGTGGTTTAGTTTTCCTGTTATTGTCGCTGACTAGACTGTAATCTCCTGGAAAGTCAGGGATTGAGTTATTTTTTGCAGAGCTCAGCCCAGAGTCTGACACCGAAGAAGCACTTTATTTATAGAGCAAGAAAAGAGCAGGAATTATATTTTCTTAAAAAAATAAATAAATAAATAAAAATTCTTTTTTTTTTTTTTTATCAATTTCTTAAATGATTCATTCATTTCTCAAATTTTTCTTTTCCCTCATTCTCTGCTCTAGCTGCTCCCAGGTTAATGTACCTGAACTTCAGTCAGGGCTTCCTGACCTCTCCTGCTGCTCACTTTCCGAATTTCTTCTTCCATTTCACCAAGGAACATCTTCTGCTACCTTTCCCTTTCTGTAGCAAGAGTTTATAGATTCCCTGTGTTATAAGCATTGATGTTTTTATTTTTTATTAACATGGATAATTGGGGATTGACAGAATTATTTCCTTAGCTGCTGAGCCAAGTGTAATTCTAGGCCTGCTCCTTAAATACTCACGATTTGATATTTAACATCAGTGGAGCTGCTGAATACCATCAACAACGTTGCCTCATTCAAAGCAGAAACAGATCCCCAGACTCCGAAGCAAAGCCCTTTGGAATGCCTCTGATGACACATGTATCAATATCATCAAGGAGGTCACTCTGATCTTCCCCACCAAAGGAAGTGCTATCCTATTGACGGTGCAATGAAAGCCAGGGAACAGTGAGAGGCTCTGAGTCTGGGGAGAGGGGCTTTCCATCCCTGATAAGTTTGGCTGTCAATGATTCCTGAAGGAGTTCAAGTTCAGCACTGAAGCAGTTTGTTTTCCCAGTTTTCATTTAACACAGGGATGATCCGCACTGAAACATACTGGCATCTGGAATTCATTAACCCCGTGGTGCTGGTTATGTAATTTAGTGCAGATGCTGACTTGCCCCATGCCACACAAAGTTAGAACTTGCACCAAGGTTATCTGACTCTTAATCAAGTTCACCAAAGCTCCTCAATAATGCCTGTTGTTCTCAACTGAATAAACAACGGACTAACAAGGGCAGATATCTACACTGCTAATTCCCTCATATCCTTCAAGGTTTAACTCAATGTCAGCTACTCAGTAGGGCCAAATCTGACTCCTCTACGTTAAAATTGTCAAATTATCCGCAAATCTGTACTAGTACTCCACCTCTCTTTCACCTGCTCTTTTGCTTTTCTTTATAATACTGACTGCCTTCTAACATATTAGGTAATTTATTTACATATTATATTTAATATCCCATTTGCCACCTCTTTTTAGAACACAAGCCGGACAAGGGGAAGAACCTTTGTCTTGTTCACTAATGTGTCCCCAGCATTTACAACAGTGGCAGGCATGTGACTGGTGTTGCAGACTGAATTGTCTCCCTCAATATTTATGTGTTGAAGCCCTACCCACAATGTGACTATGTAGAGACAGGGTTTTTGAGGAGATGATTACTGTTTAATGAGGTCTTAAGGGTGAAACCCTAATCCAGCTAGGATGGGTGTCCTTATAAGAGGAACAGATACCAGGGGTGCAGCACAGAGGAAAGGCCATGTGAGGACACAACAAAGTATAAGCCAGGAAAGCAGTCTCACTGGAGAACCACCCTGCTGGTACCTTAATCTTGGACCTCCAGACTTTAAGCTGCTAGGAAACAACATTCTGTGGAATTGCATTAATTGCAGCCCAAGTAGAGTTAATACAGTTGCTCAATAAGGAGCTGTGAAAGCATGAAAAGTTCAAGTACACTCTTCAAATCCAACTTGTTCTCATAACTGCCCTCCCCATCCCCGCCCCCATTCACCTCTCATCTTCATATTTAAAACAACTGATCTTGAAGTATCAACATACCTAGGAAGTGATGGCTAGAAAGTAAAGTTACCTACCTTATGGTAGAATTACCACGTCACTAGTACCAGTAGTAGGTATTTTATCTTCTCTATCCTCACTTTTAGTTTGGAAGTGATGGGGTTAGGTGTAGGTTTATCCTTAAAGCTGAATTTTATTACACAGTTTGTCACACATCAGTTTTATAGGAATGAATTAAATAATTTAAAATGGTATAATCAGCCGAAACCGATTTGGCTCAGTGGATGGAGCATCGGCCTGCAGACTGAAGGGTTCCAGGTTCGATTCCAGTCAAGGGCATATACATTGGTTGCGGGCACATCCCTGGTAGGGGGTGTGCAGGAGGCAGCTGGTTCATGTTTCTCTCTCATCGATGTTTCTGGCTCTCTATCCCTCTCCCATTCTCTCTGTTAAAAAAATTATCAATAAATATATTTAAAAAAATAAAATAAAATGGTATAATCACCTCACATTTCAAATATATAATGGGTTAAATATACTCCTTTTGGTGAAACTGGAAACTTCACCATCAAAAAAAATTTTTTTCTAAAAAAGTTTTCTATGGAATCAAAGTTTTATAAGTGTAGCAAAGCCCCTTGTGAATACTTGTTACATCCTGAACAATTATTTCTCTTTGAAGTAACAAGTACAATCTCTGCCAGGGAGGGAGGGAGGCGAATGGAAAGAAAGGAGGGAGAAAGAAAACTCAATACTGCTAAAGCCAGGTCCAATTAGGATTCAAAACACTCTTTAAAGCAGTTCTATAAATTTAAACTCCCACATGCAATATATAATGATCCCATTTCCTTTAAGTTCTCATAAAACTTCTTAGATTTTGACCAGTCTTGTGATGTAAATGAACTCTCACTGTGGTTTTACCTTGCATTTTCCCTAATAACATGTAATATCAGGCACCTTTTTATACGTTTCTTTTACATTCTGGTTCCCACTTTTTTTAAGTTATCTTTTTATATTCTTTGTGTATTTTTTTGGTTCATTGGCTTGCAATTTATTTGTTAATCTGAAGTTATTTATCTAATTTGGATATTAGTCATGTCTTGTATATGTAG